TATCTCTCCTTGTTTAGTTTTGGTCCTGGAGAGAAGAGATGAGCAGGTCTCTTAAGACCAAACATGGTTCATACCAAGCAAGCAAGTCAGAAACATATGTCAGGGTATGACCATTATTGTCATTATCTTGGTGCTGATGACTGGCTTAATTATTCATTTTATTTTCCTGTCCAACTCTGCCCGGTTCCTAATCACTGCTCATCTTATCCACCTGCTCCTGCCTCTATTTAAGGTGTTTGAATCCAGTCATCAGGGCCAGATTATTCTTGTTCTCTGTAGCCAGTGGTGAGAGTGTTTTTAGAGTTCCTCTGTGTTACTGATTTCCTGATCCTGACCTGTTCTGCCTCTCAACCACTGAGCCTGCCTGTTCCTGTTCTGATCTGTTTGCCTGACCTGGCTTCAGACTCCTGCTTATTCTCCAGGGCTGCAGCATCTGGGACACACTGGGCGCAACTCGTTGGTAGTCCACTGGATGGATTCTCTAGGCATGGACTGAACTTGTAAACCAGGTTAGTGACTCACGTTTATAATCTTCCTCTGTTAGATTTATGTTGTCACTAAACTGTGTTTCTCTCTTGTAGAGTTTCCTGCCTTAGATGCCCTAGCTGCTGCAGCTGCTGAAGCGCAGACTAATCTTTTAATTAAAACACTTTTTGAGCTCTCTCACTGTCTGTCTTGCCTGAATACTGGGTACCTCTGTTCTAAGTCATGACAACTAGGTGCTTTAGAAACAAAAAGTAGAGTATCAAAATCTTTTTTTTTCATAATCTGGGTACCAGAGCAATGATTTGAGCACAGGGGTGGGACCCAGATCATAGAGCAGGATCAACGGATAGAATTTAAAGGAACTTATTTGTATAATAATCCTAAACTGTATTTGTAAATAAATTATGGATTTATCCATGACTTTACTGACTCACCTATATTGTAAAATAGAGACCCCTTAAAATAGAGGCCGCTAACCTCCAGAATTTGACGTCTATTCAATGTAATAAACAATAACTGTAATCTAAAGTGTTTTCCATAAATGATCTCCAAAACACTTTCTGTTATATCTAAAATCCTCAGAGTTTCAATAACATACTTGGATGGCATTCTTTGTTTTGGCTGTTTTCGATGAAGAGAAACTAACAAAAAACGTGAACTATGAAGCAAAAAAAAAGGTGACTTTGTTTGTTCAAATTTGTTTGTAACTTCTTCCTCATTTAGCGTTTTCAAAAGTCATTTCCAAAAGTCACACATGATGAAATGAACACGGTATTGAATATTTTCATATAATGCAATAACTGTGTGTCTGGAGATGCTGAAGTAAATGAACATAATTAGAAATTATGTCTTCTGTGAGTTAACACAAGTGATGTCTCACTGCCTGCTGATTCAACTGAATGGTATCATAATGGTCAAAAGGTCTCTGCATCTAGTGCTTCTATATGAGGACATGAATGACAAGTGTTGGATAACATGAAGCAAAGTTAGTAGCTTTAAGAAATTAAAAACAAATACATTAAATGATTAATTTAATTTTGGGTAGATATGAATGAATACTTACTTGAACCGTTGTCACCTGGAAATATATGAAAAGAAAAATATTTAGTTATCAAATTACATACAGCTGAATATAAAGAGATTTACAAACAAGTGACACTGAAACTTTTGCCTCATATTTTTATGGGATCATGATCTCTTTGTAAAAACAGAGTGAAAACATCATTAGTCCGAAAGAGGAAGATGGCCGACTTATCTGGATGAGGCAGGACTGTAAAAACCTGGTTGCTTTGACGACATGACAGAAACGCACTTGCTATTTTAGTAAGCAAACCACCACTTCCTGCTTCATACTAACATGCAGACACCCAGTACTTGCTGTTCTCTGAACCACCCCTCATGTAAAAACATTTAAACACACAAAAATTCCCTGAATTAAAAAAAAAAAAAATTACTCTAAATATATCGTATGTTAATTCTGCTTAAAGTTGTTACATTGGTTCATTCATATATTCTTTATGCGTATTTATAAATATTTTGAAATTATCGAAGTAATATTTTAAAAAGCATTCTAAGCATTTTTCCATTAAATTTCTCTTTTCTCCAGTTTTGTCCTTCAGACCCCCCCGATACAAGAAGCAAGCGATTAACAAAGATGTGATTGGGGACTGTCAAACAAAGAGAGTCAGGATGTGGTTTGGTGCGTTGTTGTTTCACAGTTTTGAGCAGAGATGCATGCTCTCTGCAGTGACATTTCACCACCCTGTTCAGGCTTATTGTTTCAGTTATTAGAGCATTGCTGAGAAAAGTTTAAGTTAGTGAGGGATGCGTTTGGTTTGAACCACTGTTTCAGATAAAAAGACTTAAACACTGAACAAGTCATGAAAAAATTTTGAATATTTAGCAGAAAGCAAACTTTAAGGTAACTTCTGAATAGCTTTAAGCAAATCAATAACTAGGATTATTTGTCTTTTAATATATTCTATATTAGATCATTTAAGGCACGATGAATGGGGTCTAACATTTATGGATATTCAGCAACTGAAAAGTAGCTAGTAACCACTGAGTTAGGAAGTCTTGGACTTTCCTTATCATTATCTTTAACAAATAAAAACAAGCGATTGAAATTTTGACTTAAAAAGATGTAAAATAATATAAATAAAAAAAAATTATTAAGCCCAATTTGGCATAGAAATAGTACACTTTATGGAGAGATCTAAATAAATGAGTTTGGAAGAAAGAAACTGAAATTTGTAATTAAAAAGTTTTAAGGCCCCATCTACCAAAACACTTACACAGTAAGTGATTTCATATTCTGTATATACTTATTGATTTTACCTTTTCTAAAGATGAGCCAGCAATCAATTACATCCCTTACAAAATTGGATTTAAAATTAACTCAACAATGTGAAAACAGTGTCAGGTTGGAGGAAAAGTAACTCAAGCAACCTAAAATAAAATGCATTTTACATCTGTTTTGTTTTGAAAATGGAAAGTAGAAAATAATTCATACCATTTTTATGTAATTGCAGTGAAACCATGAGTTATTTATGCTTATCGGGTTCAGAGAATATTTTCAGTTAGTTTTTTTATTGATTGATATGAATGAGGGTTGTTCATAACGATCTCTAATTCAGTTTAAAATGGCTTCCTGTTATCATACTAACCTTTTTCTCTCTCAATAGATCAATCACTTTTAATGAGACTTTCAGTTAGATCAAATTCAATTCAGTTTATTAATATAGCATCAATTCACAACACATTTCATCTCAAGGCGCTTTATAGAGATCATTGATTAGATAATCCAGTCAGATTGGTTTAAAAATGTTCTTAGCTAAGAAAACCCACTGATTACATTGAGTCATTGTCTGCAGGATTTGTTCCATGTTGTAAAGTTAAAACCTCAATCTAAATCTATAAATAAATGCGTATTTACTTTCAAAAAAACTTTTTTGAAATATCAGTTGTGGTGAAGTACTGGAATGAAGTCATACGTTTTTTTCTTTTGCTATATTAAAAATCCTGTATTTCTTCTTTATAGGCTAAAATTTTAGTTTAAGATTAGGAAAAAAAACACCTTCAATAGACTAGTAATCTGTCTACAGTGATTCCTGTTGTTACCCCAAAGGTTGTGCATTCAGAAGAAAACACTTTCACAGCCATTCTTATGGCAAAAATGCAGACATATTGGAAACTGACCATTAAACTGATATACATCCATGCTAATAGGAGAAAATCTAAACAAAATCTTAAATATACCAGCTAAAGATTCTATAAAAAGTTTGATTGCCTTACCAACATCCATTAAAACCTACATTCCAACAAATCAGCGGTAATAAACGATGTAGGTCAATATTTTTGATTGTTATGATTATTTGGGCAAATTTTTTACAATTGCCATTGTACTTCTCTGAACAAATGATTGCAAAATGGTCATTAACAAAAACCGCCATTGGCATTCATAGATTGTTCATTATCTGATTAATTGTAATAATCTTTCTGTCTTTCATCAATAACCAATACCCAGTATTGGTTATCATAACCCATTCTTTGTAATCGAAACGTTTAATTTAAGCACAAGGACAGTGAATAGTAATAAATGTTCATAGCAAAGCTTTTATTGAACATTTACTCGTTAATCTATAAATTTGACAAAAGATTTAGTTTCTCTCCTTGTTTTAGTTCAAGTTTTCAGTGTTTTTCGAGTAATTTGGGTTAATTGTACAGTATATCTATTGTCGCCATATAATAATTTTCCCACTATTATAATGTTTCTGTGCAATTATTTTTTGTTTACATGAAGGTCCATTTGGGTACGTATCAAATGACAAATATAAACCACATTAGAGACACACAGTATAAAAATGCATAAAATAAACCATATTTTGCTTTCTTTAAATATTTCATACTCCATTATGTTTAAGACTTTCTCATTAAATGTATTTTAAAGAGAATAATTTAAAATTTCTGTTGTCTTTCTGGATAACTATTTTACTTTCCAAGGGGCAAAGTGCAAAACGAAGGTGTGATTTTCACACTTTTTGTTTAATTTACATTTAGATATTGAAAGAAACAAAGAAAAAGCAAAGGCCACGCGTAAAGTGTTAGACATCACAGAAGCTAAATCCCTAAAGATCTGGATTAAATTTACTTGACATTCAGGAAAACCTTTGATAAAATGCATCTCTAATGTTCCTGTTGTCTCAGCCTCTCAGTTCACTATTTGTAAACTAATTTTATTTTTCATGCTTTTCCTTCACCATCTTCACTCCTTGCTGAAAGCCTTTACTTGTTCTTAACATTTCTGACCTCACTTCTTCATTTTCAGATACTTCCTTTTTTTTTTGGCACGAAAGCTAAAGCATCTCTGAGCTTTTAGCGCTCGACCCGGCCCTGCCAGGAAGTCAAGACAGCCCAGAATGGAACAAGGAAGTGGTCACAGATCTGTCCCGCTGCAGCTACTGCAAAATGCATGTCAAAAAGCGCAAATTTGCCGGCTAACATTAAGCAAATGGAACGCCTTTGCTCTTTTCATTCAAATGCTGGGGAAACTACAAATGATCAGGGGAGAGTAGGAATAAAGGCTGTACAAGGATATTTTTGAACTTAATTCATTTTTAATGGTCAGTTACCAATATGTCTGCGTTTTTTTGTCGACTTAGTTGAAAACATTTGGTTAAAAAGGAATAAAACTTATTAAAATGTTATCTCAAAACTAACATTTATGAATTAGAACACTATTTTAACCTGTAAAACAGAGGGTAAGAGAGCAGAAAAGGGATTATTTAGTCATTATGTCTGTTGATGTGGTTCTACATCGTGACCCAACCAACAAAACAATCTAAAAAATACTGTACAGTATTCTAAAAACAAGCAACAAACCCTGAGCATGTACCTACAGAAAAAAAGGAAATAAAAAAAGAAGTATTTAATTTCAGCTCGTGTGCAAAGACGTCCGCTGAAAATAGGAGAAAAGACTTTTGATGTGTTGAACGGTAGCAGAACTGTGAGTGATGCTGCAGGCAATGAGGTTAGCCTGCACACCTTTTGCACACACACACACACTCATGCACGTAGATGTTTATCTTATTCCAACAATAAAAAGGGTTGAAGTGAAGAGCTTGCAGGGACACACCTCATAAAAAAAAAAGTATCATCTTTGATAGACATGTACCACCTTCCACCCACCACACAGACACACACTTACTGTGCAGAGTCACACCATCACACACATGCACAATGTCAAAGCAGAACAGAAACACGATTGCAAAAATTCCCTTTGCGGCGTGTTTTAAAGAGCATCGTCTTATTAACTGAAGCCTTTGATTGAACATCAGTGTTTATTCTTTTGCCAAAGGCAGCTGATAAAACCTGTCACTTTTCAGCTCCTCACATCTCACAGACATGCGGCTCTACTGTCTGCCATTCGTGGGGTTTAGAAAAGTTTAAGTGAGGTAAAGCAGCACGAAAGCAGAGAAACAACTCAAAGGTTTGATATACTGTAGCTTGTCATCTCTGCCCTCAGTTTAAATGATTACATTTTGTTTGCTGTTTTCCACCTTTTTTAAAGAAAGAAATGCTGATGACAGATTCATGTCTCACACAAAAAACGGTTCATATTTTTACCATAAATACCATCACGCAAGACAATAATCTGCTACAAGTTCAGAAATTTAACTTAGGAAGTTAGACATCATTGCATCATGTTTTCTTTCTCAAAATTAAACCCAGTTTAAGAAGGAAAAAAAAACATTAAAAGACACAAGAAGACATTGCAATGTCCCCCCTCCCTATAAAGACAACCTCACTTGTAATATTTGAGTACTTACAGTGAGCCAGACCAACCATCAGGATCCAGACCAGCAAGATCTTCAGGCCACAGAGACCCGCCATGTCCGGGGAGTAAGGGCGTGTGTGGGAACACACGATTCAAGTCAGGTCGAGTCCAAGAAAGGACCACGAATAGATCGGACACCAAACCTAACCTCTATTTCTAATATAATCCCCCTAATAGCTGCCTTTTTTCTAACTACATTCGCATTATCTGTCTAATCAGAAGGCGCAGCTTCCTGGACTTGTTCGCCAAACCCTAAACCTTGCTTCTGGTTTCAAGTGAAGCAAGTAGGAGTGATGTCACATAGCAAACTGAGAGCCTGCCTTCACCTTAGCTCTTGGTGGCAGGAAGTTTAGTTTCAGCTACGCCACCAAGAACAGGAAGCCTTCTCTTGTCTGATCTTCACTTGCTTTTGCTCAAGTGTGAAGAAAACTGTGACAAAAACAACTAAATAAATAACTGAGGTTGAGCTACCAATATGCCTACCTGAAACATTTTCAAGACTAAAGTTGCTGCAGTTGTTTAAAATGACAGGCGGTGAATTTAATGTAAATGCTGCAAAAACATGAAGGCTTTCAGGTTCATGTCAGACCTTCGTCTGCATAAAGGGACGAGAAGTAGTGAAACCTCTCAGAGCAGCTCCTGGGTCTCACTGACTCCTCCTTGCAGAAAAGCCTATGCAGGCCCATACTGTAGGTGCTTGTTCATGCACCAACACTGCTCAGTGCAAGCAGCCGTCCTTCCACTTGCACTGTTTTCCCCATGTTTTGATTTCCTGCTCTTTTTCCAAAGAGACAGAAGAAGGAAAAAAAACACACGTGGCTACTGGCTGCAGGAGGGAATATCTTTATTTCTGCTGCTCATTTTGCATGAAAAAGTTACATGTATGTGAGCTTTTAGATCTCTTCAAAGTCATTGATTCTGCAAGCTGTTTGATCATCACGCTTCATCCCGGAGCTTAAAACGCTTTACTTCTGTTTACATACACAGGAAAATGGGGGATAAAAGGGGAAGAAGAGGAGTAAAAAACTCTCTGGGGAGTGAGGCTCTCACACCGGGTGGTGAGCTGACGTGCATCCAGATGAAATAAGGCTTTTCACACGGTTTAATGCAATAATACACAGGACTCCTTTTAAAAGCTTAGATAATTGGAGCTGAGCTGACAGAGTTCTTCTTGATCCCACGGTGGGTTTACACCAGGCTCTGCATGGTGGCAGGATGACATGAATCAAAACCATATCCTGTCATACATCTAATATTCTTTTTATTTATATTAGAGAGGAAAGTTTCTTTCACAGCGATTCAGTGTAAATTACTTTCAGGTCAAAGCGAACAGAAAGAAAACTTGTTTCTGCCAGAAAAAAAGAAATATCACATTTTTAGTATGAAGATCTAAGTATGGATTTCCTCTGCAAGCTATGAAGCACATGATATTGGCTATTTCCACCTCTGAGACTTTAGCCACTTGTATTCAGGAAGTGGCTCTTAAGCAAGCAGCATCATGTTTAAGCAACTAAAATGAAGCTGTTTTCACAACTTTGTAGTTTAACAAGTTCATTCTGAGAACTCACAGGACTCTCGCTGGTGTTTGATAATTTTTCCCAGAACAAATTCACAGCAATTCACAGCAACATCTTATGGTCCTCCTGGCTCCCCTATTCTGAACATTAGACCATCAGTCCAAAAAAGGCTTCTGGTTTTTAGTTCCTATTAGATCTTAAATGGTTGAAACTAACAATAAGTGTAACAACTACAGCTGTATTGTTGCACCTTCACCTCAATGTGGAAATGTGACTATATGATGCAATCACTTTTCAGTATAGTCAGTTAGCTTTATTGCTCTTTAGCACAAATATTTATACTATTTTACTGTATCATATAGAGTTCACCTCCAGTCATACTTAGAGAATAAATTGTAAACCTCCTCAAAGCTGGAAAGGGCTACAGGGAAATTTTCAAGCAGCTTGGTGAAAAAAGAAGAAAATGGAATGAGCTACACATGACTGTCTAACTCCCTTGGACTGGGGCTGCATGCAAGATGTTACCTTGTGGGGTCTTAATGACAGTGTTGGTCACATTACTTTGAAAAAGTAATTAGTTATAGTTACTAGTTACTTTTCCCAAAAAGTAAATGAGTTACTAACCGAGTTACTCCACAATTAAAGTAACTAGTTACTAGTAAAAGTAACTATTGCGTTACTTTTGTGTTTCTCGCCCCCATAACCCTCACCACCCGGCCCCCACCTTCTTGCCGTGTGTTTCAAAGTCAGCTGAATAGAGTGGACGACAAAGACAAGTACCTGCAGAGTTCTGCATTTATTGCAACACAACTTAATTTACATCTGGGGGGAACGCGATCTGACAGGCCTATAAACCCCGTCAGATAGTGTTTCCCCTGCTTAACATTGGGGGGAACGGTATCTGATGCGGTGAGTGTATGAAATTAATAACTGGGGATGTCTAATTCTGAAATCCTTTGTGTTTGGGTTGTTACAGATACTGCAACATCTATCTATCTATCTATCTATCTATCTATCTATCTATCTATCTATCTATCTATCTA